GAGGCGGTGGACCATTTCACGTGCTTGCAATGATCGAAAGCAAAGGCTACAATTTGGTTGATCAAAGTTTGGATTCGAGGTCGAAGCATTTTGAAGAGAGAGGGGATGATGTGATTCGGCTTGGGCGCCAAACGACCAAGGATTTGATGTATGTTAGAGGGAACCTAAGGACAAGATTCAAGCTTCGTTCGGGCCAACAAACCCGTATAAATGCATGGTCGAGTTATGGATTTCGATATGGTGGAGTCAACGAGCCAAAGTCCAGGATTTGTATTGAGGTTGAAGGATGAAAAACAACCGAATCAAGTTGTTGGAAGAAAATCGAGTTTGGAGCAAAAACCAAGTAACCATGCGACTGCATGGTTAAAACCACCGTGCGGCCGCATGAGAGGGTGCAAGGATTTCACGTGCAGTAGTCCATATGCCATGCGACCACAGCCAAATACATGTCGCGGTCGCATAGGTGATTTTCAGCCAGAAAATTTCCTTTCCGCGCGAGAAGATTTGTTTTGAGTCAATTTCTTATTTTTGGTAACTTTAATATTATTAGGACTCTAATTTCATGTTTTACAATATTTTAGGAGTTTATTCCTTTTTAAATTAGGTTTTATATTCTTTAGCATAAATATGAGTTTTATGATTCATTGGAATAAGTTTGATTATGAATTAATGAGAGATTTTCCTCTTCGAAGCTTTGCTTCAAATTTATCTTGTTCATTAAATTGAATGGGACGAACTTATCAAGACTAATCATCTTGTGGCGTTCAAAATATCGGATTGAATCATTGAATTGTGTAATCAAGGGGTCTTTCGCGTCAACGTTACTGTTGGGTTTTTTGGTTTATCTTTTATTGGTTTAAATCTACAATCCGGGTGTGATTTCTTCAATCGTGTGATCAAGAGGTCTTTCAAGCAACGTTATTATTGGGTTGCTTGGTTCACTATTTTGGGTTCAGATTCATAAACCTTGGTCATATTGGCGTTCTTGGGATCCGATTCAATATCCTGTGGGTTCGATTGCAACCTTACTGATCGAGTTCGCATCAATACAGAAGTATAAATCTTGAGATTCCGGCAAAATGGTTGCCTGGAAGGCACTAGAGTGACTCCCCTCTGGTGTTACTGAGAAGCTTAAAGTCAAAAATGGAAGAAAAATCACAGTAGTTGAGTTTTTGAGGATGATGTTCATATATTCTCACCAAATAAAATCAAACATAAGAGTAGATGATATGAGCTTCTATCAATCTTTATATTGTCTGGGTTAAAACAAAGGAATGATTGAAAACATTGGATCGAAAATCTTGGATTTAATCAAGGTTTTGATTATCATTCTTTGATTATGAAACGAGATGGTAAACCTTGTGGGGTAATTACCTCAAAAGTCATAAGTTAGAGGATTTTTATTGCAAATAATAAAATGTAATGATTATATGGAAGACTTCTAATTGAAGTTGAGAGAAGAATCCCTGTAGTACTTGGTCTCCAATTTACAGGAGTCCTTGTTTGAGTTGAAAGGAGTCCTTGTTTGAGTTGAAATTGAACTCTTTTACTTGGTTATTGATCATATGAATAGTGAATGTATTTTATTATTTAGGATATGGCTTGAGAGTTGATCAGAGAGAGAAATATTTTGAGTCCAGCATCTTGAGAGTTTTCATACAAAGAGTAGAAAAGTAGGTGTGGTAAACTCGAGTTTATTTTTCTTTGTAATACTTCAGTATTGAGTTGGTGTGTAAAATTCCACGTGATCGTAACAATTTTCATATAATGAAAAGTTTTGACGATCCGTTTAATTTGTATGTTATATTCTTTATTTTTTCTGTTTGTTAATATTCTCTTGAACAATAAAAGATCCTGCGGATAAATAGAAATAAAAGGAATTGACGTAAAATTCCTAACAAAGTAAAGTTGATTAAACATATGGAAAGCAATCCTAGAAAAAGTTCAATTAGAAATTTGAATTTCACACTAGTAAACTCGTACTGTTTATCACCTAATGATATAGAAACGATACCACGCATGTGATACTAAGCCGTGAAAAGATAATCCAGCATAACTTTCTCTTGTTCTTCGGACAAATCTTCCTTTCTAATCATAGTCATAGTCAAATAGGAAGATCAAGGTCAAAGTCAAACAGGAAGATCAACAAAAAAAGCTCGGAATCTCTTTTTCTCTTCGTCTCAATTCATATTTAGCCACAAGCAATCTACATTTGTAATCATTTATATTCCGCTTCTTTGATATTGTACTTAGTTTCCCCCTCCTCTTTTTTGCAAAAAGCCGCTCCTCAGTGGTAAAGTCTCATCATGTGCATTGCCTAATGTGATATTAGTCACATTGAATTTCGAATATGTTCGAAGCTCTCAAAATGATCTTCCAATTCTGGGGAGAATTTGCCAAACTCAATTTCCATCGACAATGAAATGGAGTTTTCACTACAAAATTCATCCAGTCCTACCACCTCAATTCGAGTTTTTTCTTTGCTATGAAACCAACTGGTTCTCTTGAAAATATTTCTATTCTTGATACAAGAATACGAATATAGTTATATAGAATCTTAATGTCTTTGCAAACATTGTTCCGCCATCTGTTACTAACCACATAAATATTGAGTTTGAGGATGGTGTTCGAACTCTTCAAGTAATTTCTATAAATAGGATAACTGTCAAATGTTTTGGTACCAACCTAAATATAGCAATCGAGAGTGAATTTTTAGAAAGTAGCTAGTGCTGATTTTACTTTCGAAAAGCACCATTGGGTAGGGTGCTGTAAAAAACATAACAAAAATATTTTCTAAACTTTTCTATCGTCGTTTATTTAGAATTAAATCCTAAATTTGACAATGGATAGTCTCTATAGACCAACTACAAAGAGTGATCAAGAGTGAATTTTAGAAAAGTATTAACCATTGCTGATTGTACTTTTCGAAAAGCAACATTAAGTGGTGCTTGCAATAACGTAATGAAAATATTTCTAGAACCCTTTTGTGCGGAGTTTAAATTTGATGACAAATCACTCTCAGCCTCTACCTGCCAACCAAAATGAGAGATCGAGATTGAATTTTTAAAAGTAGAATTAAACTACTCCGACAGGGCCAAAAATAGGTTTTGCTTCCATGTCCTACATGTCAGCTCCTAGTGAGTTGTGTATTCCTTTTTTTTTTTTTTAAACTACCCAATCACCCCTTGACAAGTGTACCCTGAACTGAAACCCTGTTGGCAATCCCTATTGTTGTAGCAGCTTTGTAAAAAGTATTAGCCAATGTTGATTGTACTTTCTAAAATGCACTATTGGGTAGTGTGTATGCGGAAACATGATGAAAATATTTTTGAAACTTTTAAGTCATGTTCATTTAGAGTTAAACTTTAAATTTGACTCTAGAGTGATCGAGAGTGAATTTTCAGAAAGTATTAACAATTGCTAATTGTACTTTTCGAAAAGTACCATCAGGTGACGTGCTTGTAGAAATATAATGAAAGAAATTATGATCTTTTTTGTCTTTAGACTTGAACCATAAATTTGACAAGGAACACTATTAGTCTCTATACGACAACCCTGAAAGGGCAATCGAGAATGAACCTTGGGAAGCATAAGCCATTGCCAATTGTACTTTTCAAAAAGCAACATTGGGCAGTGTGCATGCGGAAACATAATAAAAATATTTTTAAAAATTTTATATAGTGAAAAAAATGTGTTTTTCTATCTCCAGAGTTTAACCCTAAATTTGACAAGAAGTTACTATCAGTCTCTATACGACAACTTGAGAGGAAAAAAAAGAACGATCGAGAGTGAAGTATTAACCATTGCCAATCATACTTCCCGAAAAGCACCATCAGCCAATGTGCCGATACAAAAGTATCTTTGGGACTTTTTCCACATGTCCTTTTATAGGGATGGCAAAAAACCCTGCCTCGCCCTGCCTCGAACACCGCCCCGCCCCACCTCGAACTCGCCAGTGAATATAAAAAAATAAAAAAATAAAATTATTTATAGATAATTTACCTGCTAAAGACCAATTTTAAATTTGTATTTTATTATCTAATTATAACATAACTCGAAATTTTAAAAATGTAAAAAAAAATAAAAAAATTAAATGGGGCAAAAAGTTGCCCCCAACCCGCGCTGGGAGCGGCGTGGGATTTTGGCTTGGCGGGGCGGGGCGGGGCGGGACGGGGCGGGGCACCTATCCTTTTAGAGTTGAACTTAAATATGACGACATACCAATTGCAATCTTTACATGCCAACCTGATCAATCGTCTTGCTCCGCCTCGTTGCCATCCCAATCCTTTTAGAGTTGAACTTAAATATGACGATATACCAATTGCAATCTTTACATGCCAACCTAAAAGATTGATCGATGGTGAATTTTCAAAAAAGTGTTAGTCACCACTTATTGTACTTTCCAAAAAGTAGTTGCAAAAACATAATAGATATAGTAGATATATTTCCTTAACTTTTATTGTCTCTAGGGTTAACCTTAAGTTTGAATACAAATCACTTCTAGTTCTGTATGTCAACCTAAAAAGAGCGATCGACAGTGAATTTTTAAAAAGTATTAATCAATGCTCACTGTACTTTCTAAAAAGTACTTACAAAAGTATAGTTTATATATTTCTGAACTTTCCTTGTCTCCAGAGTTAAACCTTAGTTGTGAAGACAAATCACTTTTAATTCTGTATGTCAATCTAAAATTAGAGAGATCGAGAGTGAGTTTTTAAACAGTATTAGTCATTGCTAACAGTATTTTTATAAAAACATAATTAGATAATGTGTTAGTCAAAAAGTAATGAAAATATTTTTATCACCATCTATTTACAATTGATCCTTAAAACTGACGACGGACTTGAATTGCTATTCACAAACAAGACGACCATTGAATTGGAAAGAAAATAAAGTTTATCCAAATATGAAGATAGCATTGAACCAAAAAAGCAATAAAATAAATAAAATAAAATAGAAATTTTGATGCCCTGAGCGGATTAGCCCGCAATAGATATTACAGCCCATTTGCGGGCCGCAACCAGCAGGAGAGTATACTGGTGGTCTTGCATACATTCATATACTGGCAACACGTGTTCCCAGACACCCCCTTTGGTCCAATTCACTACTACACGAGTACCTACTTGCTTTCCTATATAACTCCATCGATTTTCACGGACCCAGAAAGAAAAATCTTGACCCAAATCGAGAGCTGTAAATCTTGAAATTGCAAAAATGCTAGCCCGGAAGGCGCCGGAGTGGCTTCCACCTGGGTATACTGAGAAAATTAAAGTCAAGAACGGAAGAAAAATTAAGGTTGTCGAATTCTTTTCGCTTGTTTACTTATATGCCATTATTTTTTAGTGATTAATTATAGCAGTTTAACATTTTCTCTTATGATGTTGGCTGATGAAGCGGTTGAATGTTGAATTAAAAAGAGTGGAGTGGATCTTTTTGTGAATTGATTGACTATTTTCTTCCCTTTTACCCAATTATCGGAAGTAAATTTTCGGAAATGGAAAATTATGATGTGTTTACCTCGTAATTGGTTAATTGATCTCTTTAATCGAGTTCTTGAGGATAGTGTTCTTGTATAACTTGATTGGTAAAGTAGCTGCATGTTGGAAAAACAAATGTGAAAATAGATTCTTCTTCTTCTTCTCCTTCGTTTTTTTTTTAAATGTACAAACAAGGGTATACTCATGGAATAAAAACAAACGTATGAATATATGATAGCGGCTTCTATCATCTTGGCCTGATTTAGATTAATATTCAAGTCAATGTGCGTTCAGTTTTGTAAAAATTTGAGCTTGGTGCTTAGCTTGTTTTGTATACTATTGATTGATTAAAATTTTTCTTTACCATATACACGGCATTTCCCAAAATTTTTGACTTACCTACATTTTCTGCGTGGGCTTTGGATTTGGTAAAAATCAATTACTACTAGTTCTGATTGGAGCTGTCGTGGGTGTTAAAAATGGTCATTTTGCTGCTTTGTTTGTTTCGTCTGTGAAAATCAGCTTTTGCAACTAGTGTCCACTGCATTTAGCTTTGGATATTAGATACCTAATTCGTTAAGAAGGTTATTAGAACCAGTATGTGGGATATGCTATTTTGAGTGCAGTACAAATTCATGACGAATTAATGCTAACATCTCTGGATTCACAAAGTAGCCCGCGTAAACAAGCATCCTAGAATTGTATCTTAGGATTATGGATACCCGATTAATGAAGGCTGTGAAAACCGGTATGTAGGGCGTGAATTTTGAAACACAGTAGAAATTAATTTTGACAACTCCAACTTTGCACTCTCTTTATGATTAAGAAATCTACGTACTCATTCTATTCTACTTTGTGAACTGATATCTTGCGGCGAAATCCACAGTAGTAGCATTATACCATATTCCCACAATTTTAATGTGCTTTGCTGACAACGGTAAAAAATCTGAACGGCTGTGTGGGCCTTATAAAGAGGAAGGTAAACAAGGATTGCGCTCCTCCCATTAAATGTGGGAATTATACAAGTTACAATTATTTTTCTTAAGCGAATGCGGAAACTAATATCCTCTATATTAATTAATGGCACAACTATATGCAAACTTCACCAACTGCATTCAATTCGCCAAACAGTTATCTGTCTAAGAAAGGATAGTAAATGGAATGTAAAAGAAACTGACACTCAAGTCATATTTGTCTGGCTATTTTAGTACTACTGCAACGTGGCAACGGGTAAAGAGTTTTATTCGAAGAAAGATGTCATAAGTTGTGCGGAAACAGAAGAAATTTTCCATGGTACTCCTCAACGAAGAAGTAATGAAGACAAGAAGTTCCCAAATGACAAGATTGATTTGGTAAGTTTCATGGTATATTAGTTAAATAAATGATTAGATTGTACGATCATTCTGCCCTTAAATATGACAATATATGGTAGCTTTCGCAGACATCAGTTGAAGAAAATGAGTCTACTGATTGGTTACCCAACGGATGGGTAATGGAGGAAAGACAGAGAAAGGGCAGTTCTAGCAAGGCATCAACTTATAAGGTATGGCAAGTTGCATCTTTACTTCATTTTATGGGTGGTGAATATAGAATATTGCATTTCTAAATTTCTTTTTGGCAAGCCCTAGTCGACCCCCGGGTTACCCTTTTTCAGAAGTGTTGGAGCTCTCTATCTTTTCATGTATTCTGTTTCTTCACTCTCCCTAGCTCTTTCTCTGACTCACCACACCAAAATACGCTAGGAAAACTTCATTACACATGAATATTGACATGTAACTTGCTAGGGTTTCTGTATCTTCTTACCAGTCAAGTTAATCTGTCATATTATATTGTCATACTTTTAGTAGGACGGCCTGGGTGGTGATTTTCTCTGTTTTTCAGAGTTCTCATTGCCCTTTATCGATCTTCCAGGTATATATAAATCCTGCAGATGAAAGAAAATTCTACTCAAAGAGAGCGGTGGTTCGATATCTTAAAACCATGGAGCAGAGTAGCACCATAGCAGAACAAGTTAAAGTACATATTGGTTTGATTAGCTATATTTATCATTTTCTCTTCCTGGTCTAAGAAAGTTACATTTAGCGATTATTTCTTCGACAACTCCATTTGTTTTTGTAGATATTATTGCGCCATATGCATGATACGAAGCACGATCTCAATCATAATCTTACAAGAGTTAGATTTCTATTTATGAATTTTGAAAAAAAAATAATAATAATAAAAAAAAAAAAAAAAATCACGCGAAGTGCGTTCCATGTTTATTGAGGTATCACTAAGAATAAAGGAACTCGGTGATACTAGAATCTTAAAATTACATGGAAATGATAGTTTAACGTGATATGTAAGCATGCTTTTAATTGGCCAAACATGGGTGTATTTGCTATGGACTATCTACTTCACTCTTCGGCTTGCAGGCTTTGATTCAGGGGGTGGTTGTTTTATGTAGTGTTAGTACTTATGTGAGATTGGTTTGGTGCAGTTAACCTTTGTATTGTATTCTCACACAAACCTGACTTGTTGCATTTTTTTTTTTTTTTTTAATCTTTTCCCCTTTCTAATGCATACTTTTTCCCTTTTCTTTTCAGCATGACTGTATAGGCGAATCGTCTTTGATTCCAGATTTGTCTCAACAATGCAAAGCGATCACAGGCCCTGGTTGTACTCCCAATGAGAATAAAGAGGGCAACGACGAGCACTCATTGAATATGGTTTGTGCATCCATCCCAAATTACTAATCCTTTGCAAAATTTTGTAAAAATTGAGGCTCTTTCTGAATTATCTCCAGGTTGCCATTCAGAGCACATCAGTTGATGGGCTACCCCCAGGCTGGACAAAAGAAATCAAGATGGGTAGATCTGGGAGTAGGACGAGAAAGGTTGTGTTAATTAATCCCTTTACTTGAGCTGGTGATCTATGAGACTGTATGAGTATAGGTGTCTTGTACTTCTAAATGTCTTGTTTGTGATCTGACTTTGCATTTTCTACCTAGAAATGTTGGTTTAGAATTTATTATCTCTCTCATCCTGAAAAAAATTTGTTCTGCAGTATTACACCGACCCAGTTAGTGGATATATATTTTATTCTAAAACAGATGTTTTCCGCTATCTGGAAACTAATGACATTGGTAGTTGCGCTGTAAGACCAAAGAAAAGGATGGTGAATGATCAAGAGCTGATCAAGAATGAAATCCCTGTAAGTGAATGACTTGCTTGATGGCCTATGCAAGATTAGTTGTTGCTTTTTGTTACTTTGCATTTTCTTTGCTTTCTGTTTCTCATTTTTAAGATATTTAATTTGGGCATTAAACGCTATTATTGGCCATGAGGTCAAATTGTTGCTAAATTTAAATATTGAGTGATTACACCTTGTGAGCCTTTTCAGCATGACAATGTGGACGAATCACCTTTAAAGCAAGATGTGTCTGAACACAATGAATTGATGACAAAGTCATGTTGCACTTCCAAAGATAATAAAGTGGGCGACAAGAAGCAATCATTGGATATGGTTTGTGCTGCAACTAGCGCAATTTACTAGTAATTGATATGATGAAATTCTTATTTATAATTAAGGTTCTTTTTGAGTTAGGTCCAGGTTGCCATTCACATCACATCGGAAGATGGGCTACCACCAGGCTGGACAAAAGAAATCAAGAGAAGAAAATCCGGAAGAAGGATGAAAGTATATCCGGTAATTAATCTATTTACCTCAAGCTGTTGATCTAAAAGATTGTAGATTGTATGAGTGCATATATTTGCCGATGCTTGTGATATGTTTTGTCTGTTTTGACTTATTTTGCATTTTCTACCAAGTAATGTTGGTTTAGAGTATACCAATTTTTCGGGAGACATCTCTCATCCTGGAAAGTATATATTCTGCAGCTTTACACAGACCCAGTCAGTGGATATAAATTTCGCTCTAAATTAGATGCTTTACGCTATCTGGAAACTAATGACATCCGTAGCTGCCGCACGAGACCAATAAAAAAGCAGGTGGATGATCAAGAATTGATCAAGAATGATATCCCTGTGAGTATCAGCCTGGTTGACAATTTTATCTGTCAATGATCTATTGTTGACTCTTTATTGCTTTTATGTTCAGTGGATCTCTCACTCATTTTTGTGATATTTTATTTGGGCATTAGACACCACATTTTGCCTTGAGGTCATACTTTAGGTAAATATAAATATCCAGTACTTGTAATAACTGAATCGAACTGGCTGGTTCAACCTAGAAAACCAGGAACCGCTCGGTTTATCCTGTCTGATTATATTATATAAGTTGTGAATTATAGAACCAGTAGAAAATTACTGAACCGGTCAGTTCAGCCCGAGAACCGATGAACTGGACATGGTTATTCCTGTTTTCACGGTTTGGTGTTAAAAAAAGTCAAGAAAAAACTTCACTTCACATTTCCTTTATTTTCTTTATGCTTAGTCGAGAGAGATGCAACACAACAGTATTTCGGAAAAAAGCTTTCTTTGAACCATGTCTTTGCTTGGAACCATATACTTGCACCATAGGAAAGTTAAGGAAGTTTCGGGATCTGGAGGTTGGTATGTGAGGATATGAAAAGGAAAATGAAGGAATAAAACGTGAAGAAGAGGAGATGCTTCGGCTGTGAGTTTTACTTTTTGATAACTAGTTGAAAGATAGAGAAAAACGTGTGCAGGGTTGGTTTTTTGAAGACATAAGTATTAATGATAATGAGAAGATAATAAAAATGATAAGGAGAGAAATAAGAAGTCAGGCCCAAGAATTGAAGAGCCAATTTCTTAAAAAATGTACTCTTGAGAAATTAGTAATGTGAAAACTTAAAAAAATACATTGTTTCATAATTTTTATATTATGTGTGTATAATTTATTCATTTATTTCCACCTATTCAACTCGTGTTCATCCCCAGTTATTTTTTTTGACCCTTGACCCGTTAACTTTTCCCGTTCAATGTACAGGCTAGTTTTGATAACATCAGTAATTGTACCGTACGGTCCTTTCAGCATGACAATGTGCATGAATCCGCTTCGAACCAGGATGTCTTTCAAGAGAGCAAATTGATGGTGACCTCATCTTGTACTCCCAAAAGGGATAAAATACACAAAGTTAAGCGATCTTCAAAGAAGGTTTGTGCTGCAAATATCCTAGCTTATTATTCCCTGTCAATATTAAAATCTTATATTCAAAAGAGGTTCATTTTGAGCCACGTTCAGGTTACCATTCAGAGCACATCAGCGGATGAGCTACCACCAGGCTGGATAAAAGAGATCAAGACAAGTGTATCTGGGAGTAAGATGAGAAAGGACCCGGTAATTAATCCCTTACCTGAAGCTGGTGATATATCAGACTGTATTAGTGCACATGTTTGTAATATGTCTTATCTAGTTGTATTTGCTCTGCATCTTCTACCGAGTAATATTAGTTTAGAATTTACTAATTGCCTAGAGAGACATCTCTCATCCTGAAAAGCATTCAATTCTGCAGTATTACACAGACCCAGTTAGCGGATATGTCTTTCGTTCTAAAAAAGATGTCTTGCGCTATCTGGAAACTAACAACATTGCTAGCTGCCTTACCAGACCAAAGAAAAGGGAGTTGGATAATCTGTTGACGCATGAAATCCCTGTGAGTAAAAAGGTTCCATGACCACCCTATCTGTCAAGGATTAGCTGTTACATCCTTGTTGCTTTTCATTGTCTTCGGATATCTGCCTCTCATATCTGTGATATTTAATTTGGACATTAGATGCCTAAATTGGCTATGAGGTCAGCCGGTAAATTTAAATATCCAGTGATTATGCTGTGTTGTCCATTTCAGCATGAAAATGTGGATGAATCCTCTCTGAAGCAAGATGCATCTGAAGAATGCAAACTGCTGATGAGCTCAGGTTGCACTATTGAAGAGAATGAGGGGGGAAACAACGAGTACTCATTGAAGATGGTTTGTGCTGCGACTAACCTGATTTGCTATTCCTAGATATGATCTAACTACAATAGGCAATTGAATCTCTTTTTGAGTTATATCCAGGTTGCTACTCAGAGCCCATCAGCAGATGAGCTACCAGCAGGCTGGAAAGCAGAAATCAAGACAGGCAAATTTGGGAAAGTCAGGAAGGTACCTATAATTAATCCGTATCCTTGAGCTGGTGATCTAAGAGACTGTACTATTGTGTCTATGCTCGTATTTTTGTAATGCATCTTGTCTGTTTTCTCTAAATTGGCATAATGCTCTCTTATTTAGTGTGTATTCCCTCTATGCACCCAAAACCCTAAAGAAATTTCGTGTTAAACTGTCATGCTTTTAGTTATGACAATATGGATGATTGAGTTCCACAATATCTGATGTTCTCTTTTTACTTTCATTCTTGCAGATATTTATTAATCCGTTGAGTGGAAGCAAATTCTATTCAAAGCCAGCAGTAGCCCGATATCTCAAAAGCATCGAAAACAGTAGCACCACATCAGAACAAAATAAAGTATGCATACGTTTGTTTAGCAATATTTATCCTTTGCTTTTCCTGGCTCAGCAAACTTTTGTGGCTTGACATTACATAGTGGCACCAAAGCAGAATATATTAAAAGAAGCAGTTTTGAAGTCTTGCCTAAGAATAAGTAACAACTATTTTAAAAGTATATGATAATTAAAGTCAGCCACTGCAACTTATTTGTTAGAACAACAAATGTGAAAAAATTGCTTATGATGCTATTTATCAGGTCATGACTATAAAATGAGTTCTGTTTGAAAACTTCCCTGGACTGATCATGTATTCGGACATACTAGATATTCATTATGTATATGCACTCAAAATGCATTTAGGGTTTATTATATGAGCAACATTTTAGGCTGAAGTTAATATTGGTACCTTTTCAAGAAGTTAATTTCAAGATTCCTGCTGCATATTTTAATCGAATATCACTGAGAACCCTTACCAAAGGTGCTATGATAATGAAAGTGCTCAACTATAATTCTTCCTCTTTCTGTAACTTGCTTTATTGCTTTCTATCACTCATAATGTAGTTGAATAAGTTCCTCATATTATGCTATAACGCATCAAGTTTGTTGGAAATTCTTGAAAAACACCAACAATTAACCCCATGTTTGCCTTTGCAAAAGAAATATTGGTTGTTTTCATATTTCTGTCCTAACTAAAATAAATTATAATTATCCACTATATTTTTTGTTTACCTTTTGCCTTGTACAAATAATGTGCTTATTCTCGAATATTCCAGTTGTCTAAAGATGTCTGTTTTTACAGTCTTCGTCTCCAGTTGATGAGAAGTTATCAGAGAACCTCGAAACCAAGAGACAGCTTTTTGTTGATGGTACAGATATGCTTATTGGAAGTGGTTATTTTAGGTTAAAATACGTTAGGGCCATTACCAGATTTTCCTGATTCTGACTGTGGACTTGTGTTGTAGGCAAAGAAAGTTTAGATACAGAAAAATTAGCTGCATCAGAGGCCAAAATCTTGGAAGAAAATCCAGGAAATAATTCATCTAATAATGCCATTCTTACATGTGAAAATAAACTAAAGTGTGCTGCTACGGACAATGGGCTCAGACCAACTAATGAAGGCTCTGAAAAGGAAGTGACAGTGATGGTCGACGATGTAGCTATCGACTCTCATGCAACTTCTCTCTTGACTGAACAAAAGCTTCCAGAAAGTGGGGTGGAAAAACAGAGTTGTAAAACTCAGTCGTGCTCGAGAATATCAAAGAAAAGCTTTTCCCAAGACTTGCCACGTCGGACTTCAAAAAGGCTTGCAGGATGTAAACCTGACATGCCTCCTAACACAATTTTGAATGAAAGTGTTGAGGACAAAAATCCTACTGATACTGAAGCTATTAAGTCATCCAATTTTTCTTCAAATATAGTTGCCGATGGAGTTCTTCAGCCTTCTGCTATTGAGCCAGTAAAAGAGGTTGCAGATCATGCTTCTGTAGGCGATGAAATTCTTAAAGAAATAGAGCCATCAAACAAAACCGAAAAGCTTCTTACAGGACAGGCCTTTCCAGAAGATCAAAAACACGGGAAGGCCATTGAGAATCAAGAAAATGATAATTCGAGATCACAGGATTCACAGCTCTTCTATCCATTTTCGGAGTCTTGGTCGGATCCATGCTTAGAATTCGCGTTCAAGACACTTACAGGTGAAATACCACTTGATGATAATCTGGGATTTTTGGGCTTCCAGCAGCAAGTTGACATTCCCTACAATCAGACAAATGGATGCTCATTACCCCCTGATGTACCCACAAATTTCCAGAATGAAGTTACGCCCCTCCCATCATCATTTCAGCAAGTCGACATTCCTTACAATCAGACAAACCGATTCTTAGGTTCACCTGTTGTATCCACCATTTTCCAGAATGAAGTTCCACCCCTTCCATCACAATTTCAGCAACACGGGGCTGTTGTGCAATCGCTGCCTAATCCATTATTACCGTCCCCAGGAAATTCTAGCTTCTCATCTTCCAGTGGCATAAATCTTCTACTACCTAGTAAAGGGGCTCGTAATAAGGATTTCCAAACAAGATAAATTCGTTAAATGCCCCTTACAAGCTCTTAGTGCGAACATCTGGTTTGTTTGTGTAAGATGTAGTCGTTTATGAACATTTGCATCTTAAATGCATTTCTTCGACTAGTCGTTTTGTGCTTATAGATGCTGCTTTGGAGTCTTTAAATAGTATTTTTAACATCTAGTCACTCCCCTGGTTTATGGGATTAGTAGACAAAAATTCCAGAATTTCTCTTTTCCTATCTTTTGTTGCAAACAGATGTACTATGGGTGTTAACCTTTTGGGATGTCTAGTTGTATAATCAATTAGTACCTGTTTTTATTTGTAAAATGAATGTGTTTTGATGAATTCAAACCAATTTTAAGACTTGGCTAAGCTTAAAAAGTTTACTTACTAGTAAATAGGTATACTTTGATTGAATCCATTCCATTTCTAATAAGGATTATTAATCCTTAACTTTTCGAGGAACTCTTTATTGGGGGTTGTGAATGAGTGATTTTTTCAATCTTTTAAACCTTGGTTCCATAGGAGCTAGGTAGAAAGATTGAAAAATAAAATCATTTGATTTTATTCATTGTCAATGGCCATTAAATAATTATTTTAGGGTGATCCTTTTGTCAACGGATGTTCTAGACTTTGAAGGATGAGAACTAACTATGTAGTATCTACATCAAGAATTCAAGTACCATATACGTCATTAGTCCGATCCTTTGTAGGAATTACTTTTTAAGCTTAGCTAAACATGTTCTAATCCACCGGACATTCTATGATAATCTTGAAATTCTTCTAGATTAGGCATCGATAAACCCAATCAGCATTCAGGTCTTTCCACCTTTAAGAAAAGAAAGGCCTTTTACAATTCATATCGGAGTTCAAAATTGCTGTTATATCTCCATATCTATATGATAGACTCTTTCATCATATCTATATGATACCAGATAGATTCTTTCATCGATAACAGAATCGCTATTTAAGCTGGTGTTATGATAATTTCCCTTTTGCAGATGCAAAGCATTTTGTGCCAGAATGCCCTTGAAGTGATATTGGATCCTAACACCGGGAATCTGCTCATGATGTTGAAGGCAAAAAGTTTCAAGCACAAAATCAGAAATTTTGTGCATTGAAAAATGACAGCCACATAAATTTACCCTTGTAATTAAGAGTCGGATGACATTTAATAAACCCACAATTGCTAGGATTATGATTCTGGAAGGCACCTCAGGAGTTGACACCAAAAGACTAAGGGAAACCAAAGCCAAAACTTCAATAACTAAGATGATGAATAAAATCATGCATATTTGCTCAGGTACTTACATTACACATATCGGTGTGACGGTGTACAAACTCGAAAGTTGGGAGGATTATGGGAAGTCGAATCCCCGGATGGAGTGAAAATGTTGAAAATGTTTAAAGAATATTGGTAAAGTCAGTCAGTGCTTGGTTGGGCCAGGGTGGTGGTTGAACTGCCGCCAGCGCCGTGTCCAAAAACAGTTTTTCTGCTTTAGTTTATGTTATTTGTGTCGATGTTCCTTAATTCTATGCACACATGCATTACACGGAAAATGTCTATTTTTTCTATTCAAAACCTTTTCATATGTTTCTTTTCTGTGTCAAAAGCAAAATCCCATATTATAACTGAAGCTTAGTACAGCCACGAACAACATAAATTACATCAATCATGTTTGAAACAAACCACTCCAAAAACGACATCAAACAGTACTAGATGGGGTTGCCAATTTGTTTGTGTAGCTCTTATAAAGATCAATGGAAAAATTAAATCATTCATAGCCGATGATACGTAACAAATCAACTTCAATATGAAGACTCCTTCCATCCCTCGCAGTTTTCCTCTTGTGCATCAAACATCTCTTCACGGCCTTCCTGCAAACATCATAGACGACTCAAGTTTTACAAGGGGATGTCTACAAGAGCTTTCATTCTCATCTCTTAATTGTGTGCTAAGTAAAAATTGAATTTGATGGTCCTATGTTGTAAGAATGAGTTTAATTGTCCTAAACACCCGAAATCTTATGTTATCTATAATGAGATTCATCCCGACTAGGGTGAAACTTGGGATTCTTCGTAGTTTAACTTGATATACATACACCACGTGGGGATTTTTAAGTACTTTGTGCTTTTTCGTTTATATCTGTTTCTTTAGTTTTGGAGTTTTTTTATATAAAAATTCTCGAGTTCTCTATTTTTCGTATGATTATAAGGTGAATCTTGAAACAAAATGTATTACTTCACATGTAGGAAACTAAAATGCCGGAAGTTGAAGTTGTAACTTGCCTCGGGTGTGAATCTTAGCCCGACTCTGATCTCACCACAAACTCTGATCTCACCACAATATTCTTCGTCTTTAACCACATTGTAAGCTGTAGGGGGTATGCTTCCTTCGGTAAAAAGTCCCTCAAGTGGAATGCTGTATGAAGATTGTTCAACAACAAAATCAGATTTGAAAATTTTTCCCAACTATGTGGCTCAAAACTTGAATATATAGGGTCCGTTTCGCGGGGACTTTCTTTAGAAGCTATTCTAGCCCGACAAAGCACTTTCAAAACAACGATTTGTCGGCTTGTTTGAGCCACATTATTTTTAAAAAAATACATTTTTCAACAGTGATTTGACATCATTTTAATTATATATTCTTCAATAAAATAATATTACACGCAAATATAAAACTTTTTCTTATTGTTAACCACACAATTTCCATTGATTTGAGATGAATAATACATTTTTTCTAGATTGTGGCTCAAACATGAGCTGTATGTGTTCAAAAACAGCTTATTAGTCTCAAAAACAACTTTTTGACTTTTGAGTCCAGCCAAACAGGCCAATTCTTATATGTCTCTATACCTTAATCTAATCGATCTCAGTCGAGTCTAGTCAAACACACTGAAACATGCCATAAATGATTACTTACTTGGCCTCCCCGACAAAGTCATCATCCGAGGTGTTATCGCTGTCCATAATCTTGATGGATAATTCAGGAACATCGTCGGAAAGAGAAAACACAAAAGTCTCATTCCATTCCGGATCGGATCCCTTTCCTGCAAAATTTTCTAAATCATTTCTTGATCGAAATTTATGTAATAAAAATCTCACTGAATTGGCTCAACCTGATGCAACACTGCTTTTGGGCTCTTGAGTACGACAAGTGATGATCACATAGGGATCCATATTACCTGATCAGCAATCATCAAATCGTGAAAAAACAAAATTGAATCAGACGATCTTCATAAATTTAATCGATCAAATTCTAAATTATTGATCCAAAATGATTAATTCGAAGTTCAAACAGATTGATATCAATTAAGTCAATGCATCTAAAGATCAAAACACAAAAAATGAAAAGATCAGTTAATTGCAAGTAAACCTCCGTCAAAGGAGAATTTTGGTGGGCACTTACTAAGAAAATCGGTGTTCTCGAGGCCTTTGGCAGATACAAGGAGGACTTCAAGAGTTCCTCGTACCATTATCTCAAAGAAAACAATGAAAATTTCCGATTTTCTGAGAAAAAATGCAGATCTTCAAAAGGATTTTAGGACAGCAATATTATGAGTCGAAACGGAAGAGACACTCTATTTATGCACTGCCAATTATAACCGGCCGGTCTGCATGAGGTCGAACCAAATGAGAGCAAATGTGTTGTTTTTCCAATCAAATGTTGACACTTATTTTTTAGGTGTCAAAATTTTAGAGCAATAATTTTTTATTCATCTTTTTAATAGGTTGAACGGTTAATTTCACAAACGGTCATTGAACTTACGCAAAAATTACAAAACGGTCACTGAAGTTTAAAACTTCCAGTAACAGTGACTGGAAACGATCACTAAAGTTTAAAAAATTTTGAGCTACTTTTTCGGCAACTTTTCGACTAAAAAATTTTGAGCTACTTTTGCGGCAACTTTTCGACCACTTCCGATTACCGATACCACTGGATTTTGATACTTTGGATAGCCTACAATGTCCTCTTTAATTCCCACAAAAAATCTCCCTCAAACTTCAAAGGATTTAGCCGGAATAAACCCGCAAAGTTGGCTACCCGAAAAGGTGAAATCAACCCAGATTTTCAGATTTTTTGAGGGACTTTTGCGCCAATTTTTTGACAACTTCCGACCACCAAAATTGCTGGATTTCAATACCGTTGGAAAGCCCACAATGTCCTCTTTAATTACCATCCAAAATCTCCGAAAACTTCAAAGGACTCGGTTGGAATAAACTCACAAATTCGGCATACCAAAAAGGTAAAAATCTGGGTAGATTCGGGATGCTGATTTTGTGGGTTTATTCCGGTCAAATCCTTTGAAGTTTTGGGGAGATTTTGGATGTTACTTAAAGAGGAGGTTGTGGGCTTTCCAATGGTGCCAAAATCCGCCGATTTTGGTGGTCGGAAGTTGTTGAAAAATTGGCTAAAAAGTCCTTCAAAAAATCTGAAAATTTGGGCAGATTTTGCCTTTTCGGGTAGCCAATTTTGTGGATTTATTTCGACCGAATTCTTTCGAGTTTGAGGGAGATTTTTTTTGTCGAAATTGAAGAGGACATTGTAGACTTCCCAGTGGTATGAAAATCCGGTGATATTGGTAGTCGAAAGTTGTCGGAAAGTTGCCTCAAAAGTAGCCAAAAAATCTGAATAATATTCCCAAATTTTCGCCTTTTTGGATGCCGACTTTGTGGGTTTATTCCGGCCGAATCATTTGGAGTTTGAGGGAGATTCTAAATGCAATTGAAAAGAACATTGTGGGCTTTTCAACCGTATCAAAATTCGGTGGTCTTGGTGGTCGAAAGTGGTCGAAAAATCGTCTCAAAATTAGCCCAAAAATCTGAAAATTTGGGCAGATTTTAAGATTTTTTGGGGATACTTTTGTGGCGATTTTCCAATCGAATCCCTTGGAATTACGAGGCGATTTTGGGTAGTAATTGAAGAAGAAGTTTTGGGCTTTACAACTGTATCAAAATTCGACGGTATCAGTTGATGGAAGTAGCCGAAAAGTTACCGCAAAAGTAGCCCAAAAAATTGAAAAAGTGTTTTTAAACTTTAGTGACCATTTTTGAAAGCGTTCAAAAACTGAAGTGACCGTTACTGAAAGTTTTAAACTTCAATAATCGTTTTGTAATTTTTTCGTAAGTTCAGTGACTGTTTTTTGAATTATCTTTCATTGAAATTTTAACACTTGAAAAAGGGAAAATCCCTTGTACTGGAGATTTTGTCAGATTGAGATGGCAGCTTGACGTTGGATGTATTAAAATTATTTTTTATTTATTTGTCAATGAAATTCTTTCGAGTATAAATCTAGCAATATCCATGATATTATAGCACAACTGCGTAAAAAACTATAGATGTATAGACATTTGAATGGGAATTCCCCCAAGGGAACAATAGATTTGGACTCAACACAAACCTCTAGCCCTGTAACCTCAACCCATTTACATTTTGAAGGGAAAAAAAAATTTTAATGTGTAAATTTTATTTTTATTCAACACATAATCTTAGTTTAGATTTTTTTATTAGTTTGGTCTTGAATTCATCACTGAACTCGAGTAGAACCTAATCGAGACCAACTTAGAATGGATTGTACAATGTCTTGTCAAATGAATCATGTAATTGATACTTAGCCCCCGTTTGCCCCCCCCCCCTCACCCCCCTTTTTTTTTCCAAATTTTAATGTTTGGAATAATTTTTTTGAAAAATGTATAATTGAAAAAAAAATAAAAAATTTTCGATTTATGTGTAATATTATTTTATGAAAGATTGTGTGATTGAAAATGAGAGAGGAAAAAAATTGAAAGAGAATGGGGGCTAAGTGAGCTATCGAGAATTTCGAGAGGGTATAGTCTTGAAATTAGAGAACGAAACCTTAAACAAAAATGATAAATATAAATAATAAGAACATCTACAAAAAAAAACTCTGAGGGTGTTTGAGCCTCATTTTTATAAAAAAAAATTAATTTTAAAATAGTAAATTGATGGGAAATGTATGATTGAAAAATAAGGAAATTTTTTTATTTACGTGTTATATTATTTTAATAAAAAAATATGGTTGAAAAGAAGAGATAGAAAAATACATTTTGAGAAAAATGAGAATCGAACAAAGCCTCTAAATACAAAATTCGCTCTATTTCGAAAAATTATATTAAAAAAATAGCTTCTAATTTTGAATACTTTTCTCTAATGTTTATTTTGAGTTACACTACAAACTAATCAAAACTTCAGAGAGAAACTTTTGTTGTTTTTGATAAATTGAAAGAAAAATTTACGAAGTCAATTATTAGGCAAGTGGATGGTCTGTGAGACTATACTTTATTGATTTGTGGAGTAATGTTTTGGTGAGGGTAAAAGAAGGGAATATGGATGAAGTCAGCATGCAAATTATAGGGGAGAAAAATAATAATAAAAAAAGTATGACGGCCCCGTGACTTTGTGAATTTATCTGAATCTCATTTTTGATGGCCCAGCTTAACTTAAGTGCATCTCCTACCACAACACCATTATACCATTTTACACTATTTTTTGGTGTAAAATTATTTCAATCCAACATCAAACTTTGCACAATTTTGGTGCAAAATGGTACAAAGTATAAAATGTCTATTTTGCCCTTATTTAACATTCCTCAAATAAATTTGTTGAGGGTATTTATGTAATTTGTGCTATATATTTTTTAATAAAATAAATTATTATTATTTTTTATTAATACTAATATTATTTGTATTTAAAATAAATTTTAAATGTAAGACATAATAATTAATTAATTAATTAAAAGACGAAAACAATTTAAAATACATCAAACACGATTATTTATTAAAGTTAACACGAAATATATAAAATAGCAATTTATGTGCTATGTTTATTAATTGTATTTTTATTAATTGTTCTATGTTTTTTATATTTATTAATGAATTTAATCTTTTTCGTAATTTAACGTAATTATTTATTTAGTAATCTATGTATTTATGAAATAATTAAATGAATAATATTTCAAATAAGTAGATTATAAAGAATAAAAAATGGAAGAAAATGGTTAAATACTGTTCATTTGGTGTAATGGTTGGAGATGAATTTTAAATTGGTGCAAGATTTGGTGTAAAATTTAGTGTAAAATGATGCAAAATTTGGTGCAGGATTGGAGATGGCCTAAGGTCCATTCAAGTAGATAATAGATAGAGGAAATTACAGGAATCCAGACATTTCAAGATGACAGTACAAAAATTAGGTGGAAAGATTTTTAATAAAAAATCAGGTATCATTTAAACCCACCTTACCTAATCCAAACAAACCCTAAATCATTTTTTCGATCCTCTTCATACTCTCTCTCTCTCTCCACTGTCTCCCTCTTCATATCTCCTCTCGACTCCAATAAAGTGTATGAGAATGGCGGCAATGTGGTAGTGGTGAGTCTAGTGCGGTGGATCTAGGTGGCGATGAGCATTGGTCGACGCTGCTGATTCAAACGGTAACGTTGCTGCCAACTATGCGAACGGTGACTGGTGTGAACGACAACGCTATTGATTCAAATAGCGACTGGTGCAAACGAAGACAAAAGTATGTGGAGCTTGCAAGTTTGAACGGTGACTGGTGCCGATGTGGGGGAAGGGATTTGGGATTTTTGGGTGTTATGATCTTTGTCTTTTTGGATTTGCAGTTAATGATTTTTGGGATTTTGTTGGTTGTATTTTCAGATCTTGACGATGGTTGTAGTGGTGGTGTTGGGAGTGGGATTTGTTGTTGGTTTTTGGGTGATGGTGGTTGTGATGTTGGTTGGAGTGGTAAGGTGGTAGTGGTGGTCGTGAAAGTGACGGCGATGGTTGTGGATGGACTGATGTGGGACATTGGTGTTTGTTAGTAGTGGTTGTGGTGTTGTGTAGGCGGTGGCGATGATTTTGTTGATGGTTTAGCGCAAACGACGATGGTAGTTGTTTTGTTTTGTGGTATTGTAGTGAGCAGAGGTAATATATATATTTTAATACAGTGGTGGTGGAGGTTGGTGATAATGGTAGTGGTGCGTGGTGGTGGTCTTGTGGTGCTAGCGGCGATCCCAAGGTGAGGGCGTTCACAAGTGATGGTGGTATGTGACCCAATATTTGATGTATGCGACCACTTATTTGGTTATCTGTGACTAAATTTTAAACTGTGATCTTAAAAATTGATAGATCGAAAAATAATTTGTGACCAACAAATTTAAAAATCTGTAACTAATGAATAAAGTGTGACCTATAATTTTTTCGATTTATGACCAATGAAATAAACTGTAACCTATAAAATTTTTGATTTGCATTCTCGAAATAATTTTTGACTAATTAATTCGATCATATGTAACCAATAAATTAATTGTGACTTTTATTTATGTACCTATGACGTTTAATTAATAAATATATTTTAATTAATTATATATATATCTGAACTTTTAATTTTTAAATTCTCTACCTGATTTTTGAATTGGTATAAACAATACGCCTAAAATATGATTTTTTCTGATTAGATTCTTGGGTGTAGTTGGACTAAATTACATTAGATCTAAAATTTGACCTACGATTGTCATGGCCCAATCTAATCTTGACTCAAACTGATCTAGTTAAAGTTCCTACTATGCCCATATTTGATGGACATTAAATCGAACTTTAGTTTAATTTAAAGTCGATAATTAGTTTATAAAACGTATTTAATGGGACTAGCCCAATCACATATTTTATCAATTTTTATTATTAAACATCTGATTTTAATTCCATTAAACAAGCACGATATATACTATAAGAATTAATATCAACGAGCACTGTTCATGGTTTCAACCAAAACGATGTTGATTCTTTTTAACGCTGGTAAAAAAGACAGAACAAAATCCATTTTATAAAAATCATTTCTTAGTTTCACTCCGATAAAATTGTGTAAATTTTTACCCCTTCGAAATATGACAAAAATAGTTTGGCAGCCAAATGGAAACATGTTTAACTTCAATTGAAGTCGAAACAATTTGAAAATTATTTTTGCCCCTTCGAAATATGACAAAAATAGTCTCACATATTAAATAGGTTTTTAAAAAAAAAAAAAAAATTGAAATGTGTGATTGAAAATTTGTGAATTCTATAAAATGTAAGGTTGAAATTAATTGTTGACTTTAACTTGAATTAGAGGATGTTTGGTGGGGATTAAAATTAGATTTTTTAGTAAATTGTGATGGAAGTTTTTGAAATGTGTGGTTAAAAAGTTGTGGGATCCCTGAAAAATGTGGTTAATATTAATTGTTAAAAAAATCAGTTTTTTATGTGTAAATTTTTTTTCCCGCATAGTAACCTGATTTGAAATTTTGTAGTTCAGTCTTGGATCCAATTCTGGATCCGTCCCTACTTTCGAGGCCTTTACGAGAATAAATTTTAATTCCTTCTTCCAACAAACTGAAAGATATCTCTTAATATAGAAAAGACAGGGATACAAGTTTTTATTCACAGAAATTTATTTTATATTTATATGAAAATCATACAGCATTTGCACATTATTCAAGCCAAGTCGAGTCTTCCATAGAGCAACTCAGATTATTTTATTACAATGAAATGCTGCTGCTCCAAGCCTTCAAGGGCAAAAGGTCACTAGATAGTTGGTTCCTCCTGGACAAGTAAATTTGCTGGTCTGATCATCTTTAGGGTAACTATATGCATTAGGGCACCTGTCCTTAAAAAATCTAGAAAAGTTTGTAGGCCCACAACGTCCTGAGTTGCAACAATATTGATCGGTCCTGAACACCGTGCATGGGTTGTGACAGCCGCCGGGTGCCCTCAACTGAGTCGGACATTGGCCATTGATGTCATTAGCGCAGCGGATTCCGCGGGAGCACCCACCGGAGGTGGGACTAAATTGCATTGGCACGTTGAACCCGTCTACAAGAGATATATCGAAGAAGTCCAAGTTATTGTACTGGTTGAGGGCGTATTCGGCTAGGGTGTTAGGTGGTGCACCGTAGCCTTGACACTGGAGTAGGCCATTGCAGTCCCCTGTTTGACAACGACCACGGCCGGAGCCGTCGAATCTGCAACCTGTTCGAGCCCAAATTCGAGCAGCTGTAGTGCCCGCGGCAACGTTGATTGTCCAAGTTTGGCCACTACCGAGCTGTCTGCCACCACCGGGTACGGCAGCGGCCCAGACTGTGAATGGACAATTGTTGCGGATATCGAACGTGGCTGCATTTGTGCAGTGGAAGAAAAGAGCAGCAATAGAGAGAACGAAAACGAAAATGGAGATTGATATGAAGGAGCCCATATTTAGAATGAAGGACATTATATTCATTAAGAGAAGAAGTTGCTTAGGTATATATAGGGTGAGGATGTAGAAAAATGACAAATTTGGTGGAAATTAATTAATGAACTCGTTGAAGTCTTGGTCAGGTAACAAATAAAAATGACACCACTCTGCTATTATCAAAATAAGTGCAAATTTATGATTGTTTATCGGTCTGTAAAACTAACTTACAAGTAACACACGTGTTTCATATAAATGGCGGAGTGGAATGGGGCTGGTGGAGTCCTTGGCGCCCACTCAACTTTGGGTATAATAGCTTTCCCTTTCTCGATCCATTTAGAGCCTGTTTGACAATTATTATTGTAGAAAAGTGTTTTGAATCGTGATTTTTAAGAGAAGGTGTAGTTAAAAAGTAGGAAAAAGCTTTTGATATACGCATAGAGTATTTTATTGTGTGAATGTGATTGAAAATGATCATGTAGCAAACTATAAAATAAAATAATATATATCAAATAGGCATTTAATTTAGAATTTTAGCTCTGATTTGATTTGGTTAAAAAGGTTGATAAAAGTGTAAGTCAAAGTCAACAATTAATTTAAATCACACATTTTATAGGATTCACAATTTTTATCAACTTTTCAACCATATAGTTAATCAATTTTTTTAATCAAAATTTACTAAAATGTAAAAATATAATTTTTAACTAAACCAACTAGGGCTTAGTTTATTTTATTACTTTGTTAGAACTTGCTTTGTTGTGTTTTAATTTTTATTGATTTGTTTAATTTGAGTGTTAGACTTAATTTAGGCCTATTTGATTTGATTTTGAATTTGATATGGACATGTTTTAGGTTGTTTAATTAGAATTTGAGGACTGTAATTTGATAGAACTTATGTAGTTATTTTTATAGTAAATTTACTTTGTTTGACATGTAGGAAGTTGTTGAGAAAATTTTTTAATTGAGAATTTTTCTGTAATGGGATCAACGGATGAATAATAGCTTGGTTGTCTATATTGATAAAAGATGTATTTGATAAAGTTTTAAATGATGTCTTCTGTTGCATTTTTAAAGTACGAAAACCCTAAGAGAACAATCAAAGTTTATTAGGGTTTAGAGATAAATGATAATTATACCCTTGCAGTCCTAGAAATAATTACTGTTGTATCCCTGATTCTGTCTTATAAATACAGGACTTTAGTTCATAATAAAATACACACAAGTTTATTGATTTCTCTCTGTTCTCTTCTCTTTTCTTCACTTTTATAACATTTCTAATGTTATTGTGTATTTATTTGTCTCAAAAGTTTTTCTATAATTAATTTGTGCTCCATTAAACTTAATTGAGTAATTCTTGACTCCGCCACTATCATATATGGAATAATTTTGTAATGATACTATTCCAAAATGGTGGAAGCCTTTGTCAAGAAATTGCTATTTCTTTTCCACAAATAGGAATATTAATTAGATTTTAAATGGCCAACATTTTTAGGTCAAGCTTTAGCACTAAATGAATGCGCATGGTATTATTTTCCAGGGATGTAATATGATCGTTGCACGTTTCACGACACTTACGATATATTCTATATTAATAATTCTACTTCAACAAAGTTGAGTTATAAAAGTGGCTTCACAGAGTGTGTTGACCGAATCCAGATTACTGATTTCAGATGATTTAAAAATCTATTTTTGAAACGATTGGTGTAGATCCAACTTTGTCATCCAATTTTGTCAAACTCCTTTGTCATTGTAGCATAACTCATACTATATATTCATTATTTGTCAGAATTTTTTTTTTTTCAAAACATGCAAATTAATAAGCATCTATTTTAGAAAGAATTACAAAATTTAGAAAGGAGATATTGGACAGAATGCGATCGTGCATGATGCCGAATTGCATGGAAAAATTAGAGAAAAATTTGGTCAGGCATTGATTATCAATTGATGTTTTTTTTCTTTTCTTTTATGTTTGTGACTTGTGGGTTTTGGAGAGATAAAATTGCAAGTTTAACATTGTAGTTTTTCTCGGTTCTCTATGTGGGTTGTAAAGAAAGAAGAAATTGGTGTGTGCGATGAAATTTAGGATATTATTTCTCAGTGATATTTGAGAGAGGGATTTGGGTGAATGAAATTCTATATGATTGTACAAATATTTTACACAGTAAAAAGCTTTGAAAATTTGTGAAATTTTCTCCATCGTTTATACCTTTTTTATCTGATACTGGTCTTAGTTCCAAACTATAGTATCAGAGAGTCAAGTTGTTTGAAGTGTTGGAGTATATATATATCGAGAGAGAAATTTGATGGAAGAATCAAATTTGGTTATGACATGTACGAGTGAAGATGTGTTGATTCAGTTTTATGTAAAGATTTGATTAAATTGTACGATCATTTTGAAGTGGTAATCATATTTCGTTTAAATCTGTTGTGTCGATTTGGTATCAAATTATAGCCACATTCCTCAATAGAGAAGGGTATTTTCGTGACATCTAGATTGCATGCCAGGCAATGAGTTAACATAATGGTATCAACAAATGATAACGTCAGACCGACGGATAGTGATGGAACAATTGCGTCAACAATTATTTTTCATTTAAAACTAGAATTAGGATTGTAACCTTGGTTGTTAATTGATAAAAATTTGAAAGTTTCCAATTCTCCCAATTATTATAAATATTTGATGCCCAAATTATAGTATGTTCAAAATTGCAATGTTATTATTGTAATTATTATATCACTAACTCGCATCTCAATAAGGATAGACATGAACTTATGAAAAATATGTTTAAAATCTGTTTTGAACATGGGTTTCGATACTAAGAGCTTGAGTGTTGAGATCAAAATTCTTGAGATGAGTAGATTTGGAATACGTTTGGTCAGGTGTCAATACTCCATTGGTGTAGACACCGTAGTATTATAAATACATAATTTAGATGTTGGAGTCGAGTCGGGCTCCTGAAGTCGATATCAAATTCCCAGTATGTTTAAAAGTATTGAAAATCTATCATGGGTGTCAACACTTGCCTCGTGAGTGTTGATACCTGCAGCTTACTTTGTAAAAGCTGTAAAACTTGAACAGCTTACAACATGGTAATTGGCGTCGTAATGCTCAATATACAAGCGAGCAAAATAGTTGGCGTCGTAATGCTCAACATGGTAGTAACCATCCATATAGCGGTAAAGACCGGGTCACTAATAGCTTCATGTGTTGACCTCGTGATGCAATCTCAAACTTAAAAGTAACATTAAATGTTATCTTATAACCGAGAGATAGACTATTATCGAAATAAGAAACAATTTTTTAAAATAAATTTGAACCATAACGATGATAAAATATTCATTCATACTTATATAAATAAATAAATAAAAGCTTAAAAAGGGACAATATATATGACCTGACTTTTCGTCAAGCTAGGAATATAAGGTTTGATTACTTTTCAAATATTCGTATTAGATTAATAATATTATTACAAAAGGCAATAAAAAACAATAAAAATTCTTTACTTTAATAAAAATAAATTTATAAAATTAAGCAATAGATGAAGTAGTTATATGGACTTTGCTACACGTACACTGACGTGTACATAAGGGTGTCCATAATGGACGCCCGGTGTCCCCCTATTGGAGGGTGCGCCTGGTCCACCGGCGCCCCCTCCAATAGGGAGGCGCCGAGTGTTCATTATGGACACCCTTATATACACACCAATGTACAACAAGAATAATCCTTCAAGTTTTAAATGGCCGACACATTTATGTCAAATTTCCACACACACGAATTGACATGATACTTTTTCCCCCTCATAATGAAAAATATATAGCAACATGTCTAATTGCAAAATTGAATTGAATTCATACCTTAGAAACTATTGGTTTGAGTCGATGTGAAACTGTAAGCATGTCTGTTTTGAGCCAAATCTAAACTATTTCAAAACTATTTGATATAGATTTCAATAGTTGAAAATTGTTAATTTGGAAATGAACCTTTTACCTTATTTTAAAAGATAAAATTATATATTATGTTGCAAAATAAAATTTAAGTACCAATCAATTAACATATTCAAATAATTTCTCAACTTTTTCGGAGAAAATTTCAAATTAACTGTAGTTTCTTCCATTACTTTAGTGGATTTCTTTTTTCCATTTTGATTTGAACCATCTATGATTAGGGATTTCCACAAATCCCAACAATTTTTTCCACGAGTCACATTCACAAATTTTTCCACAAGTCACATTCTGTGCATTTTAATAAGNCTTATAATTTCTTTGTGAGATAGAGTATATCACAACTAGTTCGCAGGCGGTTAACGTAGTGCAGCGTGAACCGACAACCGATTCTATCCTGGGAATCGAACACCGATCGAAACCTCTTGCACTCCGATGAGGCGATGAATTCGATTTAAGAAAACTGTAAATACACAGGCTTTCGGTTTGATTTGATTCTCTAATATTTACCTACAAGCTTAAATCGAATTGGCTTTAATAAATCAAATTTTGTTCATTAGTTTTTGTCAATTTTTCCAGTTCATGGTTTTTGTATGATTTCTAATTCATTTTAAATGATTGTTAAGTTGTTAATAATTTGACAAATAATCTGTTCTTCAACTCTGCAATTTTATTTTCTGAACAGATAACTTTATCTCGAATTTATATACAACTTTACAAACTTATAACTATTTTAAATTATTTGTTGCTTATTCCGGTTCAATGGCGTCACATGGAAATAACGATGTGAACAACGAAAGCAACATTGTTGGTACTGGTGTACCAAATCCTGCAATAACCATTGTTAACCCTATGGAGACTACGACTGACATTTCTCCCATTGACGGGATAATTGGAGGCGAGATTCCTCATGTTGGAGTGAACCTAACTTTGCCTTCGGCTGCAGCCTCGGCAATCGAATTTGGCACAATATCTTTTCCAGTACCTAGGGCTGCAACTTCAGCACCTTTGCCATCGTTTTCGGCACCATTTTCGGTGAATCATGCAATTCGATCGGATAAGTTTGCTGGTACTGATTTTAAGACAT